TGCAAAATGCTGAACTAAGTCGCCATTTGAGACCTTGGGAGCTTTTTACGCGATAAGCACGCCGTTCCTGGTGGGAAAGACTGCATTATTCCGGAATAGCATCGAAGGAATCGTTATCTTCTCCGTGGAGATGAGAATGACCCCGCAGTCGGCGCCAATAGTGCCCCTTCTCTCCTTTCATGCAGGACAAACTGTTGTTCCTTCGTGACAATGTACTTAAAGCGTTGTCGATTGTATCTCGATAACGAAAGGATTCAAACGGCGACTGCCGTTATCTCTTCCCTTTCCTACCTCTCTCTCTCTCTCTCCCGCTATCTCTTTCTTTCTTTGGCTCTCTCATTCATCCTCTTCGCTTTTTCTCAATGGCTGGAGGCACGAGTGCCTCGTTTTTCGCGCAAATGGTCGCCTTTACCGAAAACTCCGATTTATATTGGACTACTTATACATCGATTCGATTAAGCTATGCGGTGCACGGTTCGCCGCTTCCCCATTACCGTGGATCACAAACAGCGTCGCTGCACAAAGGAAAATTCAGAATAGCGTGATCATTTTTTTAACAAAAGATCTCAAAAGTATCTCCACATGCTTTTTCTCGGTTCGTTTTCAAATTTCGCGGAGCGAATTTAATTCCGAAATTTATTTCTCCTTCAATCTCTCAGCTCGGGGCCATCATATTTTAATCATATATTTCCGCGTTTTGGGAAACAAAAGGCGCTTCGCAAAGGTACTTAATGTAAATCCGGCTGCTGTTTCTCTCCTCTCTATCGCTCGTTTTATCCTTTTATATTTTTACAAGAACGAGAGGATCTGAAATTCTACCTCAAACCAACATAATTTCGCGCAGGAAGATCGCTATGCGCGCGTTAGAATTTTTAGACTCGCCGTACACTACGCCATTTTTGCTCGGTGCGTCGAATACTTTTTAAACGCAGGCTTGAACACCGGCGTTTTCTTTCTCGGGAGAAGCGTGAGGGAGTTTACTCCCGGAAGGAGAACATGAAATCTCGTTACTTTCCGCGCAGATCGAGGGCCGACGTGCTGCTATAACCGCGCATGGTCGAGTGTCAACCTGCGTCAACGCGTATCGGTCGGACGCAGTGTGTGCCCTCAAAGCCAATTACCCTCGTTTTCAGCGATTCGCTGAACAACTCTCCGTCTCAGTTCAGGCTGAGGTTGCGGGCCGAGGTACATGCGTGTCGGTCAGCCAGGTGGTATATGGGTGACACATCGGCGGTCCCGCCGCGGCATGTAGCCGCGCGCGCGTATGCCCGGAGACGGTTATGTAGGTCGCACGACAGTCACTTGAGATTAATTACCAAGTGCATCGTTATAGATAACGCAGTGAAGGCTGGCGCGCGCGCGGAGGTTAAGTGAGAGTAGCGGCGAGATACGACGTTAAATTGAACCTTTCGTCGGGCCGATTCCTGCACTGCTGCCGCCACCGACCGCGCGTCGACTCGGCTCGGTCCGTTGCAAGCCATGGCACAATGAGCGTACTTGCCTAAAAGCAATTACTGCCGTACATACGCACGCATGCATACGTGCGCACGCATGCATGTATGCGCGCGCGCGCGCGTGGGTGCGCACTCGACGATAGCGCGTGTGGGCGATATAATATTGTTCAGCGCCTCTCTCATTCGTGCTGGACGCTTCGTCAAATCCGCGGCGGGGATCCACCACGAGTAAAAGATCTGGTGTTAATCTCCGTGCGCCGGCGCTAGCTATCATTATGCGTTACACTGAACTATCCCGAATTAATAGCCCGGGATATCGATCCTTCGCCGTTGCCAAATTATAAGGTGGATCAAACCCGCCGCTACAACGAACGCAATGTTCGTCGAGATCATTGCGCTTGTTTCTTCTTCTTTTCTCTCCTCCTTCTCTTTTTTCGTTTTTCTTTTTTACATTATTAGACCAACACAGATAGTGTATATGCTATATTTGGTTAATTACTACTAAGGGTTTATTCAACAATTACATCACATTAAATTTAAGCACAAGTGTGGCATGATAGACAGCACACTGGTCTACTATGCTAACGGTCCTGAGTTCGATCCTAGGGCTCGGTAGAAGCTAAAATATTTATGCTCGTGTCTCCTCTCGGTAATGGTAAACCACCGGGGAGAAGAGTAGTAGCTTGCCTAGTATAACCTCTGTAAAAAAAAGTTACTGTTCGAAACCAGCATTAAACTGTAGGTCTCATATGCTTATATATAACCAGCACGCGCACCATAAGCATGTGAGAGAGAGATCATCTTATGCCTGGACACAGGTATGGTACTAGCAGAAGAAATTTGGGTACTTTTACTCCCTCCCTTTCTCTCTCCCCTTCGTCATAATTTTGTTACAAAATGTTCGTTCTCTTCCAATGTTATGCGACATGTTGAATTACTCCCCGCCCCGCCGACGCATAGAATAAAAAAAATAACTTGTAACTATACTGTGAATAATAATTATTAGCATTATTGGACTGTACGCTATTATCTTTTTATAAAATACGAATAATTTTTAGACATATAATATCCAATTAATTGTTTTATTTTATAATTTTGATTAATAAAAAATTATTTTTGAAAAAATAAATATTAAAAAATTAACATTTTAATTATTTAACACAAAATCATATCAAAAATTTCCATCAAGTATAATCAAGTATTTCAATGCAAACAAAGTGAGTAACTACGTGCATCCATATTTATTAATTATGCTATCTAATATGACGTTCCACGACTTTTATCCCTTTCTTTTCTCTCTGCCATCATAGATACCGTTACGCAAGCCAATAGACTTCCCCTTTTCTTTCTTCTCTTATGATATGACGCAATTGTTGAATGGCCCCTTACAAGGAGAATAATCCCAGTTCGTGTAAATAGTCTAACTATATATCTAAATAAACACCGTACTAAAATACATCGACTAGAATCTGATATCTCTTACTGTCAAAACTCAATTTACGCAATGATAACCATAAGTCGAAGCATCGAGATCGAGATTTCGAGACAGTAATGGAACAGCAATATTTACAAAAAATTTGGTCAATGTATTCAGACATTTTAGAAGAAACTTCACTTAAAAAATTGTCTAAAGAATTCGCCGAAGGCAATTCATTCGACTATATAACATGTCGAGTCATAAAATAACTTTAATATATTGTCACAATTATGTGCAATTTTTGCAATAGTAATGTCACGATAATTCAAAGTAAATTAATTAGTACAACCGCATGCCATTGAATGATATATTTTTTAATAGTATTTAATTATTTAGATAATATAACTTATTTTATTCTTATTAAATTGTATTAGGCTCTCGAGATATGGGTGTCCTAAATTAATCTCGGTTCCCCTGGTGTGCAAGTAGAACAGGTGAAATTGAGCAGAAAAGTCATGTACCATTTTGCAAAATTTGCAATAGTTAGTGAATAATTAATTATTTTGTCTGAACTAATGAATGCATGGAAAAGGGCAAATCGGACGTTGCATAAAGAAAATGACTTACTTTTGAAAATCTTCTAACAACGGTGAGCATCAACTGATTTCTAAAAGCGGGGAAACACAGCAAGCAGCAGTGGTATGCGACACAGGGTTATGCACCGAAAAGAAACACGCTTCTCGCTATCAGTTGATACTCATCGTTACTAGGAGATTTTCAGAAGGAAGCCACTTTTCATTATATAGAGTCTAGTCTACTTTTGCTCGTGTGCTCATTAGTTCAGACAAAATAATTAATTCCTTGCTATTACTAAACTATTGCGAATTTTGCAAAATGGTATTTTTCTACTCAGTTCCATCTGTTCTACTTGCACACCACGGGAACCGAGATTAGTTTGGGACACCCTGTATAAAACCACTGAAAAACATAGAAAAGTCAGTAAGAGCTAAGCACAGTTGTTGGTGTCGATATATTTATTAAATTTATAGAAGGATTATTTTATTTTTATACTTTTCTTACTTGAGTCCGAGAGAAATTACGTCGATTAACTGCAAACTGATCTGTCAGATTTCATGTGATAATTGACAAGTGTGCGAGAAATGAAACAAGTTACAACACACAATCAGTCAATCAACATCACGGAAAAACGATAACAATGATTTCGATCATTTCGAGTATCGACTTAACATGCGTTTTTAGAAAGGGACAAAATCAACACAGATACGGAACACTATTTAGCTAATTACATAGGTCTGCATGATTTTGTGATTTGGAAAACAAAAATAGTTCTTCATAATTGAATCGGAATCTGTAAGTAAGAATATTCTATCATGTCAGATAATATTGTGGTTTCAATTCATTTGGGAACTGACGGGTTAAGTAAAAATAATATTCTGCCACAGAACGTTAGTTCCGAGCGAAACAACATTTCGGTCCTGCGACGTAGCGGAAGGCGCTTTCTGTTATTTCACGATAAAAAGAAAAGAAAAATGAGTTTCGCAAGATCCGTGGCGAATTTACGCGAGTCAATAGACGAGAGAGATGTTTCCGATTAATTCTCACGGGACGCGGTACACCGTGTTCCGCGCGCTCGTTATACGCCGGTTGTCCCGCGTGTATTTAAAGGCGGAATCAACCTCAAATTGATCAGCGCGATTTCGTCATTGACACGTTGATGCGGTAGCACCCACAGAACATATTCCTCCCTCCTTCCCTTTCATCCCACATTTATCCGCTCGATCCGTGGTGCGATAATAATCGCATATTGTTATCGAGATACGGTTTACGAAATTTCTCGCCCGGTTGCACTTTCCCTCTTTCTCTTTTTCGGCGAGATTTTGAGCCAATACAAAAGGAAAGAAAATACCATCCTCGTGATCCCTCGAGTGAGAATAAAACGGCGAACTCGCGTGTTCAATCGCTCACCCCGTTCAACCGACGCGAGTCAAGCCGGGCGGGAATGGTTGACGCGGTGCGGCCAGCCACGTAGTTACCGTGAACGAGTGAGCGAGCGAGCGAGCGAGCAAGAAGAAGAGAGAATTTCCGACGCATTTGTCACTGCTCTGCAGGTGGGATGGCTGCGCGCCGAGGATCAGACGATATTGTCGATGGGCGAGCGCCGGGTTACCCATTCGCCCCGATTCTTCGTCACCCTGGAGAACGCCAAGACGAAGAATCAGACACAGTCACGGGAGGAGGAGGAAGCCACCTGGCAGCTGCACATTCGGTCACTGAAGGAGGCCGACCGTGGCTGTTATATGTGCCAACTCAACACGAAGCCGATGTTGAACCAGCTGGGATGCGTGGACGTCCTAGGTATGTCTAATTGCGCGTTACGCCACATTCCGGCCGGCCAGGTACGGTCGGCTGTTTGCGACCGTCGGCGCGGAGACGTCACGCACGTACGCACGCACTGCGTTTCGATTAGAGCCGAGGGGGTGGTTTTAGGGCCGGGGAAAATATGCGTGCCTCGCCGCTGTAGCAGCGCGTTTCAATAGGCCGTTGATGCGAGATTGTGTGCGTGCGTGCGTGCGTGCGTGCGTATTCCCGAAGCACAACCACGATGTGTCATTCTCGGTTTCGCCGCTTATGGTCCGTTTTACAGATCAGCGGAAAGACATAAGATTGAATTAATGTTATATCGACTTTCAAATATAGGTGGAACGTCAAATCACCCAAGTGAAATCAACTTGTTCGACGCTGGAATTTTTATCTTTTTTTCTTTCTTTAGTCGTCCACGATCGTATATATACGCAAAAAATTTTTGTTGAACAATATAGTATAGAGGAGAAAATCGTAATATCGCCCTTGTAGGTATAATGACTTCTCTTAATATCTCTGCTATTAGATGTATTCTAATGATTATTTATGGAATTATTTATTTAGTAACTCGCCAGTACCATTACGCAGTAGAGTAATATGCCAACATATAATAGCCAATATTTACTATAACGTAGTTTTATTTTTGAGCATTTCAAAACTTTTTCAAAATATATTTTAGTATTTAAATATACATATTTCCTCATTCCTTTTAACTTAAGCGACATAACCACACAAATATATGTATATTTGAGTGTTTTATTCGTTATTTAACATTTTATTCTGCTATATACATTTCAAATTGCAGAGTTAAATAATACACATTTCAAATGCAGAGTTAAATAATAGCTTTTGCTAACGGAGACCCCCACTAAAATCAATTTAATACAGCCTCTTTTTTGAGGTTTTCATATTGAACTAATTATTCGATAAGTTAATGATTTAAATTCAATTTTTTTAAGTCTATTCGTTTTATAGAAACTGTCCTTCTGACAGATTGTACCTACTTTCTGACAAGTAAATCGATATCTACATTAAAAATTCAATATTATATTCATTGTTCTTTCTAAGAGAAAGTTTATTTTCAATATATATATATATATATATATATGTGTGTGTGTGTGTGTAACAAAACGTTGTGTTCTGTTATACAAAATCAAGTTTCTCAATCTATTTTAGTGGGGGGCCACATTACCACTCTTGTTCCTCTTTGACCTATTGCAGTGTTGCCATACTTTTATAAATAACATCCTAAATAATCAATATTGTAACTTTGAGTCTATATTTTATAACTTTGAGTCTAGAATCAACTAGATAACACTTTGACGAATGTAATCGTCGTTTTTAATTTAAAATACTGATTATTAACAAAGTTATTGTACCAATTAAGATATAGACTAGATAGGCTTATAAGAACAAGCGCTAGTTATAAATATACAAACAAATTTGACAAGCAATCGTGGTTAATAAAAATGTATTAAACAAATTTCGGTCTCGTTTGAACCACTATTTATAATTAATGCTTATTGTTAGCATTTCCATATTTTATAATTTTTCCGTATTTTCCTTTCCATATTTTATAATTTACTTTATTCTAGAGTTATTTTTATAAAGGTTATTTTTCATATTTATTGTAAAAAATAAAAATAAGAGCCATGATATCATTTTTTTTCTCTACTAATAGTATAATTTACTCGAGTTATATTACGCGATTATAAGATACATTTATACTGAAGTCAAAATTTATATTTAAGAATTATATATAACAATATATGTAAAATTAATTAGGTATTAAGTTCTCTTTTATATCCTACGTTCGTCCCTGTAAGGGGGTTAGGACGCGGGAACACCGTGGCGTCGTAGTAATAGTAGTGACATGCTCGGTAAGTTTTGGCGAAAGTCGGACAAAACAAGTACGCGCGAGCAACGAGAAAAAGGCAGACGAGATACAGTGCGTGAGCAGAAGAAAATGTGTAGGATAACCACAATTAAACGCTCTTTTTCCTTGATTTTTCCTCGGAACTATGATTCGAGTCAGAGTTCTTTTGGAACCTTTCCTATCCCACTTTAGACACACATTACAACTTGGGGACTCAGCCGGGATCCGAGAAATCGAGACCGGAAAGATCGGAAGAGAGTAGGAAGACAACATGTCTGACGGTGACGAACGGCGAAATAACGACGCAGGCGACACATGAGTCGACGAAATGACGGTGGCTCAGCTGAAAAAAGAGCTTAGAAGACGTAAACTAAAAGTGACGGGCAACAAAGCCGATCTCGTAATACGATTGAAGGCGGTTCTAGTTCTGGAGGACCAACATGAAGAAGAAAACGACGGATCCAGCGACGAGAGTGAAGACGAACGAGACGAAGCTGGCGATGTTGACGACGGAGCGAACTAAATACGTAACCGTCCGAAATTTGTGCCGACTTTCAAAGATGTAATTGAAGAGTCGATTGATGTTTTTAGAGGTGATGACGGTAAAAATGTGAAGCTGTAGAATCCAGGAAATTGAGAACATGGCAAAGTTATGCGAGTGGAACGCGATCCAGAAAACTATTTACACGAAGAGGTTGCTATGAGGTTTCGCTCGTTTATTTGTGAAGTTGGATAACTATGGAAAAACGTGGAAAGCCATGAAAGTCGCCTTGAAGGTAGAGTTTGCACCGAAGGTAGACAATCGTGCGGTGCATGTGAGAACGAAAGAAGGCCGACGAATCTCACCATGAGTATTGTTATAAGATGATGGAGATAGCAGTTCGAGCAGACGTCGAAACGAAGGCGATCATCCAGCGAAGGATATCATCGACGGCATTGATGACAAAGAATATCGGAAGGCTGTGTTATATGGTGCTAAAAATATTCGGGAACTGAAAGATAAGTTCGATATATACATAGAACTATGCGGTAAAACGAAATCATATACGAAAGTGAGCGAGAGTAGAAAGAAATCGTCTTTGAATACGGAAAATAAGGACGCGATGCGTGACGTTTAAATTGAGCGCTGTGATAGATTAAGGCAGCGATCTTAGCGAGAATGTGCAAGAAACAGATCGGATCGCCAAGTCTGGGGAATCGCAAGATACAATTTCGAGGGGCGGGTTCAGGAGAAAATATGACACTGGGCGACGTGCGTGAAAAAATCTGTACCGATATAAAAATTTATGACATTGTAGTATACATTGTTAATGACGGAATACCGCGTCAATACCGCGTGGCATGCTTATAGAAACCGATTGTTTGAATAGCGTTGAAGTTCGTATGAGAAAGAGTGTTATAAATATCTCGAAAATTGTAGACGATCCCGTGAAAGTGGCTGCAGTTTATAAAATCGACGTAGTGCAAAACGATGGCATTATAGATCTCTCACACATTTCAGATGAAAATAAAGAGGAAGTAGCATGTCTGGTGAAAGAATACGAACCTAGGAAAGAAAAAGGGCTGGTGTTAAAATGTCCATAGTTGTAAAAAGTGACGTTCCAGTTACCTTTAATGCACGTAGGTTATTCGTAGCAGAAAAGACGTGTGTAGACTTACAAATTCGCCTGTGGGTCAATTAAGGCGTTATACAACCGTCGTATTCTGTTATGCAAGCCCAATAGTTTTAGTAAAGAAAAAAAACGGCGAGATTATGCGTAGATTATCGAAGACTAAATGAAAAAATAGTTAAGATCCGATATCCGCTACCGCTGGTCGAAGATCAATTAGATTTTTTACAAGGCGCCTCGGTATACAGCATCCTGGATCTCGAGAATGAATTTTTCCACGTTGAAAAATCAAGTCATAAATATACTGCTTTTGTTATCTCGAATGGACACTACAAATTTTTGAAGATGCCATTTCGCCTGTGTACATCCCCGGCGTATTTTCAAAAATATATTAGCACTGTTTTTCGAGAATTAACCGCAGCAAAAATTGTCACGATCTATATGGACGACTTGATTGTACCTTCGGTAAATCTACAAGACGGACTATCGCGACTTAAGTTAGTACTAGAAACAGCGAATAAATAGGTATTGTCAGTTAACTGAAAGAAATGTCAATTGCTAAAATCAAAAGTGTGTTATTTAGGACATGTAATAGAAAACGGAAATAGCACACCGTCAAACGAAAAAACTGATGGTGTAAAGCATTTTCCAAAGCCGACGAACATATGTTGTGTGCACAGTTTTTTGGGTCAAACAGGATATTTTCGAAAATTTATACCTCGATATTCGCTCATGGCTGTTAATGGAGTTATTACGAAACGGATTAGAATTTAAATTTGAGAGAGAACAGGAGCAGGCGTTCGGGCAACTGAAGTTAGCTTTGAGCAAAAGCCTGACTTGCGTTTGTATTGTCCAACACAGAAACAGAACTGCACACTGACGCGTCGGCTTCGGGATTTGGTAGAGTTTGGTACAGCGCAATAGCAAAGATCGTATGTTTCATCCGGTATATTACGCAAGTAGTAAGACTACGCTTTCCGAAGCGAAATATGACAGCTATAGACTCAAAAGGCTAGCCGTTGTAAGAGCATTAAAGAAATTTAGAGTATCTAATCGGTATCCCGTTTACCATAGGAACAGACTGCAAGGCGTTCACCCAGATTATGAAAAAAAAGACATCTGTGCACAGATGGCGCGATAAGCATTTTTCCTAAAAGAATTTCGATATTCGATTATACATCACTCTGGAAGCAGCGAGACACACAGTATGTGGCACATAGACGCTTTAAGCCGACACTCGTTATCTATAACTATGCTAATAGAAAAATGCGAGGATAGTATACGGGTGAAACTTCGTCCGTTAACGACGAGAACCAATTAACAGACGAAGAAATCTAACGCTTTAACAAGCAAGTAGACGAAAACCGCGCAACTGGCTATATGATTATTAACGTACTGGTATATAAGGAAATTGACGACTCCGATCGTCATACCGAAATTGATGCAAACCTCGATAATCCGATAAGTCCATGAATGTCGTCATTTTGCTTCTACGAAGACAGAACAGCTCTTAAAATCTGATTATTGGTTTCAGAATATGCATACGAAGGTCGAGAACATAATTCGAAATTATCTTCCACGTATCATGACAATGAAGAAGGCTGGCAAATAAGAGCGATTTCTATATCCGATCGAAAAGGAAGTACTACTAAATACCTATTATATAGATCATCTGGCATCAAATGCCATCCACTCAGAAGAAATATATTCGCAGTAGTGGACGCTTTTATCAAGTTCACAATTCATATCCGACGAAAAGTATCGGTACAGCGGAAGTTCTTAACCATTTGATGAAACAATCAGCTGTTTCTGGAAACCCTAGACGGTTGATCTCTGACCAAGGTTCGGCATTCACGTCTCACGATTTTAAGTCATATTGCACGGATGAAGAACACGTTTTGATTACCACAAGGACACCAAGAGGAAATGGACAAATCGAACGAATAAATCGAACGTTGATCCTGCTGCTAACCAAACTATCATCATCACAGCCGATGCAATGGCATAAATTTGTCGCACGTGCACAGCAGTATTTAAATCATGTATCTACCCGGGGCACTGGAATGACGTCGTTTAGCCTTCTGTTCGAAACGAAAATGAGACTACAAGAAGATCTGCGCCTAAGAGAAATTTTGGAAACGAAGTAAGCCATCATTTTTCAAGAGAAGTGCGACTAGTTGCGAGAAGAAGCTCGAAATGCAATTCTGAAGACACAGACCGAGAAGGTGGTGTTATAACAAGAAACGGAAGTCACCGATTAAATACAACGAAGGCGATGTAGTCGCTATTCGACGAACTCAACGTGGACCAGGACTCAAATTCTGTATGAAATATTTAAGACTTTACCGTATCAAACGCGTCCTATGCAACAACCGGTATGTCGTCGAAAAAATAGGCGAAGGAGAAGGTCCACGTATAACATCGGCAGTCGTAGATCATATGATATCTTGGACAAACCTTCAGGAAGATACTTCAGATAGCGTAGGATCAGATAACGACATCTGAAGCCAGATGTCAATCGAATGATCGAATGATTTATGAATGTTTATATCTTTAAAAAAAATATTCTACATTTCTTCTGTACGTCTCTCCGATACGCAAATCCGAGGAAAGAGGAAGATGCGAAGAAAGTACGTCGAGTTAATTTGCCGGGTTAATCCGAATGTTACAAGCGGACCGTAACTCCGCAGAAACGATTAGAAAATTTAACTTCGTTCCGGCGAACAGCAAACGTAATGGTCTCGGTAGCGTTTCAGAATTTTCGGGTTAATTTCGCCTCCGGTATCCATTAAATGATTTCGCACACCTTGCTTGTGTTATTCGGGATAGCTCAATTTGCTTAGCGGGGCAAATTACTTCGATTTATTAATATGCATTCACGCTCACCCCGTTCCGCCCGCACTGGGAGATATAATATCGACGGGTGAAGTTGATACTCACTTCACGAGGAACTATTAGCAACCACATAAGAAACACCACGGTCGTGCTTTAATTTATAGTTTAATTAAGCGCGACAACGGAGTTGGAAAGTCTACCTGACGCGATAGATCCGTCCGTCGACAGCGTTCGCCCGGTTCTACTACTACTATACTACCGTTACACTGCTGTGCGGTACATCACAACTTGCCAAACGTCGACAGAGCGAGAGTGATAGAATCCACAATTCTGTTTCTATTAAATTTACATTATCTCCTCTTAACGCGTTAATTACAGCGGGGCACAACACGCGCGACTCAATATTTGCTTTGCCCAGGATACACATCGGCCATATCCTAGACGACGCCTAGGCGAAGCGGTTTCCGCGCGGTGCGCTTCAATTTCGGTACAGAGATGCACTCGCGCGCACTCGCCGCGTTGCACTACTACAGCGTCATCAAATGCACAATTTCATTTTTATATCTCGTCGCAACGAGCAGCAGCCGCCGCCGAGCGGCAGCTCGGCGAGTAATATCATCTACTTTGTGCGTGAGAGGGAGAGCGAGAATGTGCGGGAGAGTTCCGGAGGATGAGCGAGAATGCGTTCCATCGCGTGCGTGCTTGTTCGTCGCCGGCCGGCATCAAAAAGTGGTTTTCACTACCGAGCAGAACGAAATTCCTTTGTGTAGAAAACATGAGAAAATGCCGTAACTTCTTTTTCTTTTCTCCCCCCCCCCCCCCCCCCCC